CAACTTTGAGCTGGAACAGATCCATATTATTCCATTTGAGCGAGCTCGTCTTGATTTCAAGTGGGTCCGAACTTTATTCAATTTCGAGCCAGGTTAGCTCGAAAACTATTTTAAGTATCCACAAGCCAATTTCGAATGGAGCTGAACTCAATTTATTCCGAGTTCGCCCAACTCGACTCCAGATAATTACAGCCCTAGCTTGGAGGAGGAAGAACCGCCACGTGGAAGTCGCTGGCAGGTAAAATTAGCCTTATAAGAATATTCTAATCAATTCAAGCCCTCATTCTATCTGGAAAAATAACTTAATTACAGACATAACACTCAAAATGTTACTATTTACAAATCCAACATTTTTTTTTTCATCCATTTTTTAAATTCTCATTCAAATCTAAAAATTCATAATAAGGCTAACAAAGTTGGTCGGATGTCTAGCTCTGGCCCTAACAATCCGTGGTACAAGCTGTTTTTTATTTGGCCCGGCCCATTTACGAGCCCATTACATGTTCAGTTCCTTTCAGCCTCTCCTATAGCTCTCAATTATGTTCAGTTAGTGTTCCCTGAATCAATTACTTTTATGGGAATTATTTTAACATTTTTTCTATAGGCATGGATACATAAGTAAAATTTAAGTTTCTTAAAAAATTTAAATTTAATTTTAATAATTGAGGTTGTGACCCTGAGAAAATAGATTGGGCTCGAATGAAAGACCCACAATTCTTATTATTGAGTTTTTTTAGTGAAGTACGGTCTTGTATTATCTGTAGGTACATAAAACTCGACGAAAGACAATTTTGTGGGAATAGTGTTATAAGGAGAGAATAGGACGGAAGAGATTTTTAAAGAGAACCTTTAGAAAATTATCGTTCTTCAACCTCCGGTAAATCGAACTAGAGTGACTCCTTAGATGTTTCTTCAAGTCACAGATTTTCATAGATAAAGATAGAGATGGAGAGAGAGAGAGAGAGAGATAGATGTTTCTTCAAGTCACAGATTTTCATAGAGTGATAAAGATAGAGATGGAGAGAGAGAGAGAGAGAGAGAGAGAGAGATAGAGAGAGAACAAACAAACAAACTCCCCCTTAAAGGAAGAGAGTTGAAGTGGGGCCCCTTACTTTCCTTTTATTAATCTTTTTATACATGAGATATAAAATAATATAATTTTTCAAACTAGGGCTTCAACGACTATAATGCTGACTTCCCTTTAATGGGTGTCTTAACTATGAGGTATTCTCAGCTAATGTTAGATATTGGTGGTACGACGTCCATCCCTAATGTTTGGGTGATGAGAGTGAATTCTTAGCATCGGGCTTGCCTTTAAATAAAAACTTGAGAGATATCTCGGTTGATCCAAATTGCTTTTGCAAATGACCACCTTCATAAAAGTATATCTAACTCGTCCCCTTGGGGAAGATGGTGGTAGGCTGGATCAACCACTTCGACAAGTGGACGCAATTCAACCGCTTTAGCAGATGAGCTCAATTCAGCCACTTTGGCAGGTGAGCTCGATTCAGTCATTTCAACATGTGTGCTGGATTCAACAAGACAAAAATCAATTAAAATTTTTGCATATTCGTATTTGTGTATACACTTATATCTGCGATGATATTAATAGACGACTTCTATTGAAAGACATTGTTATTTAAAACTTATGGGTAATTATTATGTTTACTAATTATAATTTTAAATTTTGAATCTTACATTTTTATTTTAGTGACGATGATCAACAATGGCGAAATTAGGGTTTTTAGTCAAACCAGGTAAAAAAATGAGTCTCCATATAGAGCTTCTATAATACATAAAAATATACAATATTTAGTAAATATATTTGTAAGAGAATGAAGATAATTGGGAAAGTCGAGTTCGATTCGAGTCAACTCAAGTTCGATTACGCTTCATTCAAGAATCTCGAAACGAAACCCTGATTGAGTCCGGGATGCATAAAACTTATATTTATTTACAATAATAATAAGGACTCTTGAGGCCTCCTTTGAAGGAATAGCAAAAGGCTAATTAAGTAATGAGAAGTTGGTAATCTTCAATAATGATACAAGTCTCTTGGCACTTGAAAAGCTTGATTAATAATTATAATTATAATGATTAGGTGGGGTTTAATGAGCATACCAAACACCAACTTCAGCATCTTAGAATTATAAGTCAAAGATTAACAGCCTGATTTAGAGTTATTAAGTGATTTAATTAGCTTAATACTTCTTATTTATTTCATTTCCTTGAAATATATTTGTTTATGTGATCAGTACACCAAACTCTTTATTTATGTGATGATATTATTATGAGAATCATTTATATGATCGGACAGAAATATGTTGAGGGTTGAGACATTTATTATTTATGGAAATGATTTTAATTAATCAAAATGAGTTTTTTTTTTTTTTGTATAAAATTAATTTAAAGAGTAATGTTTGATAAATTAATTAAAGGGGCATTTGCATGCATGTCACATAATTCTTTTACATTTACATGTCCAACATCGAAGCTTTTATGTCCGCATATATGACCCTCAAATCTTTAACATCACGTCTAAATTATGGCTCTTATAAACTTAAGCCAATCTCATATCAAATCAAGTTGGATAAAATCGGTCAGGAACGGGAGCGTGCGAGTGAATTTCCAAACAATAGAATAGAACGTGGAACGATAAGAAGTCGATCGATCTCACAACCCGATCGTCCAAGATAGCATTCCAACCGGTGGAGCCTCTTGACAGTGGAATCTTCCGAGCGGCAAAATTAAGGGTCGCAAGGCTATGATTGAGTACCTACTTCCTGGTCGAGCAACCCAATCTCTCGAAACAAATACGGTTGGTCACTGTAGCCGATCGACTTACATGTCCGTGAGTCGCTCGACTTAGCTGACCGAGCTAAGGCTTTGGGCAATCGACTGGGCGCCACCGTTTATTACTTATTACCATCTAATTTGAATTCAATTGTTTAATACAGTTATGTAAATTGTTCTTTCCTTACATATACATATACTTGTATTCAAAGGCCCGATAAATAGGTCATGACATCAATAAAGAGATCCTTAGATTCTCACATCTGCGCGGTCTGACACTTCTCTCTCAGCTCTCTCTCTCTCTCACTTCATTGTTTTCAGGCTCTAAGTCTCGGGGCGTGTTTTCAAAAAAGACTATTCAAAATTCAAAAAGCCAATAGAAAAATTACCATAAACCTTCGCCCTATTTTATCTTTGTGTATGGTAGTAAATAAACTAAACATTACTTAAATTACTTATGACTCTACTTGATCAGAGCGTATATGAGTTTTTTTTGTATAAAATTAATTTAAAGTGTAATGTTTGATGAATTAATTAAAGGGGCATTTGCATGCATGCCACATAATTCTTTTACATTTACATGTCCAACGTTAAAGCTTTTATGTTCGCATATATGACCCTCAAATCTTTAACATCACGTCTAAATTATGGCTCTTATAAACTTAAGCCAATCTCATATCAAATCAAGTTGGATAAAATCGGTCAGGAACGGGAGCGTGCGAGTGAATTTCCAAACAATAGAATAGAACGTGGAACGATAAGAAGTCGATCGATCTCACAACCCGATCGTCCAAGATAGCATTCCAACCGGTGGAGCCTCTTGACAGTGGAATCTTCCGAGCGGCAAAATTAAGGGCCACAAGGCTACTATCGACTACCCACTTCCTGGTCGAGCAATCCGATCTCTCGAAGCAAATACGGTTGGTCGCTGCAGTCGGTCGACTTACATGTTCGTGAATCGCTCGACTTAGTTGGCCGACCTAAAGCTTTGGGCAATTGACCGGGTGCCACCGCTTATTACTTATTACCATCTAATTTGAATTCAATTGTTTAATACAGTTATGTAAATTGTTCTTTCCTTACATATGCATATACTTATATTCAAAGACCCGATAAATAGGTCATGACATCAATAAAGAGATCTTTAGATCCTCACATTTGTGCGGTCTGACACTTCTCTCTCAGCTCTATCTCTATCTCTATCTCCCACTTCATTGTTTTCAGACTCTAAGTCTCGGGGCGTGTTTTCAAAAAAGACTATTCAAAATTCAAAATGCCGATAGAAAAATTACCATACACATTCGTCCTATTTTATCTTTCTGTATGGTAGTAAATAAACTAAACATTAATTAAATTACTTATGACTCTACTTGATCAGAGCGTATTCATTATCATTTATTATTATTTTGATTGATTAAATGGACAAAATTGAACATTTATAAATAATCAATTGCCAAATGAATAAATATGAACAATTTATTGTTTAATTTATTCATGTTCACAAACAATATCTCTAAAAGCTTGTGATTATGTTTGTTAATAGTCTCAATTAAAGCTTTATTTACAATGTCACATAAGTATACTTAATTTTTGTTAGTCAAGTGAATAAAGCAGTTGACAAGACACATGTTGAAGAGTTAATCAAGTCGAGCACCAGATGCTATTAGTCGATACAGAGCGAATGATCCAACCGACTCGACCAAAAAAGGCAACCGAATGAATATAAGAATGACTCGCTAAACCTTGGAGTAAGGTGAAGATTATAGAAGTAACTATTAGATCACAATAATAACTATTTTGGCACTTAGAGTGTTATCGATATCTCTCAATATAACTTCTACCTACTACAAATATAAAAACAGAGACATGTAGAAGGAAAATACATGAAAATATGTTTTTCGAAAAACACGAGTATATTACTGACACTTCCAAAGCTCGGGTTTAAAGGTAATTAAAAATAATAATTTAAAATCATAAATTAAATTACATTTTTATCTAAAAATATATAAAAATATTAAATATTGCTAAATAAATGGTTAGTATATATAGCGCGTTTCTATGTATATATTGGGTCAACAACGACTCGGTCAAAATTAAAACCCAAAAGGACCCAGACCCATACTTTCCATATCGGCGTCGGCCGCCAAAATCCCGGTTTAGCATGGATATTTTCATTAAGGCCCACTAATATCCTTTTTTGCCGTAAAGCAACCCACGCCCCTCCCATGAGCTCAGAAAAGCAGCGCTCTCTCTCTCTCTCTCCAATCTCAGTTGCCTTCGAAGTTCTTCACCAGTTAGAGAGATTTCCAAGACGCAACTCTCTCTCTCTGTCACGTTTTTGTGGCTGTGGATTCTGTACAATGAGAACCTCTTCGATCAGAGCAACATTCAAATGAGCTTCAAAGCGCCGAGATCTCCTTTGACTTCATCAACATCTGCAGATTGCGGTTGGCGGGGATCTCGCCGCATATGTAAGATCTTTGATTTTTTTTGTCTCTAAGATTAAATCTTCAGTTTCATCTAGGGATTATGAAAGGAAGAGATAAATCATCTATAAGTTGTGCTGATTTTTTATAGATTTTATTCCTTCGAGTTTTGGGGCGGTATTTATGAGCTTATTCTCGGCAATCGGCGCAAAATAGAAGTTATGCTGGATGGTTTTCATGTTGGGAGGTGCTGACCTAGTTCGTGATTCATTCATTATTGTGGTTGTATAATTCTTCATTGTTTTTTTCGATTTTTGGTGGTGAATTTTTTGCTAATTGTTTGAACAACAGATATTCGATAGATTATATGTTCTTCATCAATGCTGATTGGTATTGGAAGGTGGTTCTCATGGCGTTAGGGTTTTCTTTATCACAGTATGGAAACTTGTTGTACTGTTATTCAGGAGCTGTAGCGTTTTAAATAGGAAAATGGCATCGTTTAGAAGAAGCACTTCGATTGTGCATCGAGATGGATCCACACCCATACCCAGCAATGAAGAAACCTTCGATACTTCTCCTTCACCAAAGCCTTCTCATACAAGAACCTACTTGGTCTTGGGAAGACTACTGAGTTCATTGCTAAGCTCCATGGATTTTCTTACAGAATCTGATAGAGTTATAACTGCTGTTCACAATGTCTTCTTCCAGAGATCCTCTCGTCCCATGGAAAGATCGAAAACCAAAGGTTTATTCTTAAAAGGGTCGGTTTTCAGGTTTTTTATCTGTTTTGTTTTAGGGATTTTTATTGGTTTCACCCCAATCCCCATGGTTGACATATCCAAGAATAGCTTCTCTAAGCACCGGGCCTTCTCCTTCCACGAGGAGCCGGTGATCCAAAATCTTCAGAAGGAGATGAATTCAGAGGGCAATGATATCTTAACCACTCAGAAAAATTTCCTGAAAGAAGTGAGTAATGCAGAGGCTTCGATCAAATTGGAGATGACGAGCAATAGTTTGAATGCCTCACCAAGTCTAACTTCGTCTCATGATTTTGCATTGTTTTCTCGTAAGCTTTTGATAATCATAACTACGACATTTGCTCGGCCATTTCAGTCATTTTATCTAAACCGTTTGGCGCACACATTGAGAAATGTGAAGCATCCTCTTCTATGGATTGTTGTGGAAAAACCCTCGCAATCTCCTGAAATTACGAAAGTATTGAGGGATACGGGAGTTATGTACAGACATCTTGTTTGTGACCAGAATTCGACTGGTATGAAAGATGAAAGCATACAGCAAAGAAATGTTGCACTTTTACATATTGAAAAGCATCAGCTTGATGGTATTGTGCTTTTTGCTGATGATGATAAAATATATTCAGTTGAGCTCTTTGATGAAATGCAGAAAATCAGGTATTTATTTTTTATTTTACAGAATTTATGATTTTTGTTTAGGAGCATTTACATACATACCGCAAAATTCTGATGTAGTTATATATCTAATATCTAAACATTTACATGCATACCAGTCAAATCCTTAACTTCACATCAACAATTCCAACGTAACTATCTTTTTTTTAAAAGTGAAATACACCTTTTTCATGCATAGGCTTATGACAACATGGTGTTATAAGTGTAAATATCAAACTTTGTGTGTTAGATCTGTAAATGCATAAGAATTGTGTGGTATGTATGTAAATTTCTCTTTTATTTAGTGTGTTGTTATGTTATGGGTAGTTTTTTAGTACTTTACATTTTGTTTTTCAGAACAATTTAAATTATCAGTTTTGTTTTTTTTTAATTTGCCTTTGATGGTACTAGTCATCATAAGAAGGGTTGACTATTTTCATTTAATTGCCAGCAATCATAAACATTTCTTTTCCAAATGATGAAATTCTCTATGTTTGATGATTTTGTTAGATGTAATTTAAACTCAAAATGGATTTCAAACCTTTTAAATACATGAATTGCATTTTCACATGCGTAATGAGTGAAAACAAATTACAATGATGTTAGCGATGTGTGTAAATATGAAATTTTGGGTTTGATATTTGTAAATACATAAGAATTGTATTCTATTTATGTAAATGCACATTTTTTTAATGAAAGACATCTCCCCTTATGGTCTCCAGTTTGAGCTTCATTCGTGGACCACATATGTGAGATAACAACTATAACTAATCGAGCGCACAATTCTTATGTATTTACATATCTCACACTTAAACTTTCATATTTACATGCGCAACACTTCGGTGCTTTAAACCTATGCTTGAGAAGGTGTATTTCACTTTTAAAAGGTGGTAATAGTTATATTTTTGATGTGATATTAAAGAGCAACACTTCGGTGCTTTAAACCTCTGGTTGAGAAGGTGTATTTCACTTTTAAAAAGTGGTAATAGTTATATTTTTGATGTGATATTAAAGATTTGAATGTTATGTGTGTAAATATGAAAAGGTACGTGTGGGATATGTAAATACTTTAGAGTTGTGTGCTAGGTATGTAAATGCCCTATAAGTATAATATGGCATATTTTCCTTTCCTATGGCCTGAGATTGCTTATATGTCTACAAGAAAGGTTATAATGTAATGAAAAAGCTTGTGAAATCCATATATTGAAATCCTGACAAACAAAGGTTGATCCTGTTTCAATACCTCTAAGTTTTCATTACGAAAGGGGGTTGCTTTCCAGCCTCTCTCGTCTTTTTCATAAGAATGCCCAATTTCTTTTTATCTATTGCATCCCGATTGAGAGTTTGGATTTATAGATAAACAAAAGGAATTAAAAAGAAACTTAATACTTTCTTGTGAGTTGTTTAATAGAACGTGAAGAAATGAAAGGAAGGATTTTCTTCTTTGCAAAAGGTAGCTCTTTTCAGGCTTCTGCGAGCTCCAAATCACATCCATTCTATCAAATTATTTGAATTTTATTATTAAATGTGTTTCCAATCAAAGAAAGAACTTTAGATTGTTAAAACTATCATCAACAAAGATGCTTGGCAAATTGGAAGGATTTAAATTTTTCAGTGATATACTATTAACTATAGGGAAATTACATACATACCAGGCAATTGTTATATATTTACATGTCTAACATCCAAAGTTGGTTGTCTACAGTTAATAACACCTTAGTGTCTTAAACCTATGCATGAACATGTGTATTTCACTTTTAAAAAGACATTGATGGTGGTATTTTTTATGTGATGTTAAAGATTTGTGTTGTATGGATGTAAATATGAATGTTTAGGTGTTAGATATGTAAATACACAAGAATTGCGTGGTTTGTATGTAAATGCTTCTACTTAAATATTAGTTTTCTTAAATTACTGCAATGATTTCAGCTATTGCTGTTCACTTTGACGGTGATTTAGCTGATGCTAATATTGATTTATACTCCGTTTAGAGATTCATGGGATTTGATGATGCAAATTCTTGAGATGTTACCATTGCCTTGGTCCATAATCTTCTCAAATTTTACAGTGCTTATATTGTATTGAAAATAAAATTGGCATTAATATTTTTTTTAATGATTTTATTTTAGTTTTAATGTAAAGCCATGTTTTTATATTTCTATTTATTGAGCATAAATTTCTCTTGCCATGATTTTTAGCAATCTAGACCCAAAAAAAACATGAAATATTCATCTTTTAACGACGAGTGGCATGAATATATAACATTAGCAAAATGCATTTATTGATGATGGTGTCGTTGGTGCCCATATAATTAAGGGTTAAATTGAATAATTTTGGATCTGGTAGTACCACGACCTATGGATTGCATTGCATGTTGCAATCTTTTAATGATTAGAAATTCAGAAATTAAAGAATAAATCAATATTCAAAACTATTGTAATTATGTTTTTTAACAATCTTAAGTGATCACAAGGAAATCTTATGATATTTCTTTTAAATAAACTTGTCAAGATTTGAGAGAATTTTCTGACTAAAACCATTTCAGCACAAAAAACAATTGCAAGCTATACTTATTAATTCCCAAAACCTAAACATATGCAATTTCATGTTATTTATTTATTTTCTTGCTTTGAACAATTTTATGTAATTTAGTTTTATTCTAAGTCTGTAGGACTTGATGATATCTCAATTAAAGTGTGGAAATATTTAGGAGAATTGGGAGTTTTTCGGCCTACTAAACTCTTTAATATTATTTTGAAACTAAAAAGATGCCTAAGGAGTGGAGGAATAGTAGTTTGGTCCCCATTTTTAAGAATAAAGGGGATGCACAAGAGTGTGCAAATTATAGAGGAGTTACATTGATGTGTCATACTTTAAAATCATGTGAGAGGGTAATTGAACTTTAGTTAATACATATTACAAAGATTTTTCATAATCAATTTAGATTTATGCCGGGCAGGTCTTCTATGGAAGCTATACATTTATTGAGAGGTTTGATGAAAAAATTCAGAGATAATAAGGAGAATCTACATTTGACTTTTATTGATTTTGAAAAAGCTTACGATAAGGTTCCAAGAGATATCCTTTGGAGAGTTTTCGAGAAGAAATGTGTTGATATGACTTATATTCAAATCATTAAAGATATGTATACTAGAGTTGTTACTTGTGTTAAACTGAAGGAGGATAAACCAAATATTTTCCTATTTCTGTTGGATTACATAAGGGATCGGCTTTAATTATGGATGGTCTTACTTGGCATCTACAAGAGGTTGTACCTTGGTGCATGCCTTTTGCTGATGCTTTT